GCAGTCAATAACTTGCCGCATTTTCGTTGGCTAACTCTACCTTATTTTATGTGAACATAGGATTGATACATTGTATACTTGGACTTCCTCTGTGAAATTATTATGAGCTACTTGTTCACATAAAATTACCTTAGAGTTAGCCAACGAAAACGCGGCAAGTTATTGACTGCGGGAGTAAATTGAAGATTCTAACATTGTATTTCAATGGGCTGGATTAAACATGATTAAAACCAATAAAAAGTCCACAGGTAATTACAAAAGCATTTTATTTCAACAGCTTTGACATAGATGAACAATAAAATGTAAAAAACTGTTTGAAAAGTGAAAGTTACAGAAAGTTACAGGGTGGGGGGGTATACTACAAAAGTACCGTACTCTCTTGAACAGACATTGTTTTTGTTAAGGTTTGATGTTACTGTCAGTCAGGTTAGATCTGGCCCTGGTTTCTCAAAAAAAAAAAAAACTCCAGTCAGGTTCACTGGCTAAGAACTTAATTACCAAGGTTACATGGTCACATGGGCACATCTTACCCTATCAGGAGCAGTGTAACAGCACTCTCATGGAAATCCTAGTCAACTAAGCCAGGAAACTGACTTAAGTTTTTTTTGTGAAATTGGGACCAGAAGATGGTGATACTGTATCATTTTTGACACAGAGGATATGTATAATATTTGAGAAGGTGAGTGGCAGTGATTTATGAAATATGTACACTGCAGACAAGGTTAACACAATGTGACCAAGGTACTTGCTTTTGATTAAACAGCCAGTTTTATTATGTTTTAGGAACTTAATTTTCTTATAGGGCAGTACAGTTTCTTTGGACCACACCAGTTTGAATGCTCCTAACATGTAATCACACCACAGGCTGTGGTCTTAGACCCCACTCCCATACCTATATCAATCTAACAGGATCGATCAATCTCCAATGGGTTTCTCACTAAACTGCTTTTAGCTTAAGTGGGATAGATGTCTGGCACACGTACTGAAGCTGCTAAACGATAGTTAATTACCCCTATCAGCTTCAGTAGGCATGCCAGACATCAGTGCCACTTAAGCTAAAAGCAATTTAGGGAGAAATCCCTCGGAGATGGATTGATCCTGGTAGAAAGATCTAGGTATGGGAATGGGGTCTTTCTCTTTTTCACATGCCCTAGTGGCTTCATTCAAAATGAACCCATTTTAAGAGTGTACTCAGAGCAGCAGACTAACAGATCTGCAGATCAAATAAAACTAAGAATCTTGTTGCTTATAATTCCAGATCAGACACTCACCCCATTTCCATAGATTAGATCGACCTACTTTAGATTGACCTAACTCCCTGGGGGTTCACGCTAAATAGCTGTCAGCCGGGCGGACACGAAAGTTAATTATCCCCTTACAGCTTGTAGTAGGCGGGACGGACATTTAAGTCGGATTATCTGAAAGTAATCTAGTGAGACTCCCCGCGGGAATAGATCGATCTAAAATCTATGGGAATAGAGCCACTGAATAGATTTTCTGCGTAGATAACACAAGGAATCAAGTGGGTCGGCCATATTTGATCCATGGATCTATTAGTTCTCTGTTCTGAATGCACTTTTAACTGGGATATGGGGGTTTCGTTTAGGTGACTCTTTGATGTTATAGCCAGGCATTTACAGCCTCTCAAACTGGAGCATCAGAGAAAACTGTACTTCTTGATTTGAAAATGTCCTAAGTTTCTGATTTTCATAAATCAGGGAGAAGTCTTGGTCACAGCAGCGAGGAGGCTCCCTCTTGAGCTGGTACAACTATTCCACATGTAAAGGAATCACCAGCGCTTTTGGAGCTTGCGAGGGTTGGGTTGTTGGCACTCCAATCTACCCGGAGCTTGGTGAAAAGAAAAGAGATCAATTCAAAAATCTCTTCAACGAGAGGGTGCAGACCAAGCACTTCTTTGTTGCATGGGGCTTTTGAATAAGCCAACCATGAAGTGACCCCAATAAACACAATATCTAGGATGGAAGGCAGCAAAAACTATATCAAATGCTTAGTTGTAGCTCAGTATACAATCATATGGACAGACAAAATACTACATACATGTACTCAGTCTTTGCCGTAAGAATTTTGGCCTCTGTTCCTTTAGAACACACCTTAAAAAATTAAAAAATAAGTTTTTAATGACAAATGTGCATTTATAATATATGCACCAAAGTTATATAATTTACTTTGAATGTGATATAAGAACTGTGGCAAATGAGTTGGAAAATTCAAAGGCACTTTTAAAGACTTGCATTTTAAACCAGTTTTTACTTACTAGTACTGATACTGTAAAGTTTTATTGTTTTAAGTCTTCTATCCTTTAATTGATCTTAATTATACATGATTTTAAATATGATTGGTAAATACATTTTAATTGATGTTAATTATGATTCCTTTTATACTTTAATCAGAAGTTTGTAATCTAAAGTTCTTGATTTGTAAGGTGCATTGAAATTTTAATGAAATATGCCATATAAGAATAAATAATAATAATGATTATTATTATTATTATTATTACTATTGATATTATTACTTTCGTTATTATTATTGTCATCATTTCGGAGGAGCCTCTAAGGCAGAGGAAATATAGCCAACAAAATGGAGAGGCATACTGAATTTATGGGAAACTGAAATATAATAATCTCATTCTCTTTCTTGCAGCATATTTATGTAGACCAATTGTTCCAAGACCAAGACGAGAAAAAGTTTGAAGAATCTTATCAAATGAATGTATTCTTTTCTTCTGTGTTTTTTATTGTCACTGATGCAGAAGTTCTATTTGATTTATAGAATGTATGGCTGATAATTTAAAATATTTCCGAAAGAGAAATTTTTATTTTGATTTATTTATTCTTTAAAAATTATATGATAGACAAATATATATGAAACGCCTTCTGTTATAAACCAATAAGACTGTCTGTGCTGGATATTAATTACAATTTCTAACAATTTTATATGTAATTTAGTCACTTGTGAGGAAAATGTATAGCAAATCTGTGTAGATCTTTATTACAGGTAAATTGAATATAATCACAAGTAGGTAAAGCTCATACTTCATGGTATTATTTTTTTTCAGGTGATGGGTGTGAATTTCAAGACACAGCACTTCATATTGAGAAGGCTGGCTTCTCACTTGTTGACCAAGAGCACTTCAACTCTGCTATCAAATTTAAACTAATTCAACCAATGCTGATGGGGACTGCCACTAAGTAAGGCGTCCTTTCTCATGCCAGGATGGACGCTGCATCAGGGTGTTCGTATTTGGTAGATTTTTATAGAAAGGAGTTTTTATGGACTTGGAAAAATTTAACAGGATTTTTCTGAGTTTATAGAGTTTTAATTCAATGTCCTTAATTTAATTAACTTAATTTAATTTAATTTAAGCTGCAATGTAGTGTTATTTAAAAATCAGTATAACTGTATGACTGTCTGGTTGTGAATATTTTATTGTGCTCAAATTATTATGAAAATATTTAATAGTTATGCATTTTTATCTAATCTACACAATATAAGTTATCTCCAATTCTTTACATTTTAAAAAGGTGAATTCCAAATAGGAAATGTGTTATACATGAGATGGATGTGTATTTACTGTGAGTGTGTGTGTGGGTGTGTTTGTATGTGTGTGAGAGAGAGAGAAAGAGAAGAAAAGAGAGAGAAAGAAAGAGACAGCTTGCTTGCTAATCGAAAAGTTTTCACTATCAGAGCCAGGAATTTTCTTGAGGGGGGCGAGAAAGGGGGAGGGGAACCTTTTTTAGTAAGTGAAGTGAGGTAAAAACAAAATTACTAACAGTAGAGTAGATAAATTTTACTGTAATGTGTAAGGTACCAAAAGGGAAAATATTTTCTTGTCTCATTTAGCCTGTTACATTATTTTTTCAAGGGGGTAGGAGAATACCTCCTTTTTTTAATGGGGAGGGGGGGGTCTGCCATTGCCCTCTAGTGAGACCTTAACAAAGACCTGAATGCTGTAGTTGAGAAAAGCTGAGAATGTGTTGTAGCAACTACTGCAATCAAAAATAGCCTGTAATATTACACTGGTTGGAAATGAATGTCACTGAGTGCATTGATTGATGTCAGCATGATAAATGCAGATAATATATGTGATTCCACTTAAGTTGTATGCTGAAAATTATACAAAAATATTGCCCCTGCCCACCACACAATGTCACAATATATATTTTTTTGTCAGGGGGAAGGGCAGGTCATTTCATGAGCAGTCACAATTTTTTGCATTTTAATTTTACTGTATTCGATTATTATAGAAACCTAAGTCTCATTTAATTAAATTAAATTTTAGTCTGTCACACAATTAACAGTATTGAGTAGAACTGATAGCAGTGCCAACAATTTTCATTTTTATCGATTCTAGTCAAGTTGTTTTGAATTTGAATGGGAAAGGAAACCAACAGACACTTGTTAGCCAAGTCTGTTAAAGGTGTAATGGGTGAATTTAGTGTCTCAAAACAAAATAAATTTTGATATTGATATCAGGGATTTTGTAACATAACTTAAATGTGCTGTGTTCAAAACTTACATTGCTTTTTCAAAAACAAATACTATGAGATTTTTATTATGGTAATTGGTGGTGATTAGTTCTTGTTCTTATAAAAATTAAAAAAAAAAAAGAATTACAAAAGTTATTTGTTATATATGAACCTCGGGGTGATATGAAATTGACATGAAGCAAAAATTTTTTTCACAGAATTTAAAATAAATGTTTTGTCCCAATAGTTCACTCACTATACCTTTGATTTTCATTGTCAGTTTTACATATTTCATTTGACAAAATTGCAGTGCTTTTTTTTACAGTTTATTAATTTTAAGGGCACATATTTGTATCTATTTTCATCATTTTTAGAAGGTATAAGTAGTACATATATCACAGTAGATTAGAATTAAATGTATTATAACATTATTGAGCTTTGATCTGTGATTTAAAAAATGCAGAATGGTGCTTTAGTGACAAACTTGGTTATTCTAATGCAGATGCCAGTTGCAAGTTTTAATGAAAATATTAAAATATACCATTTGATAAGCAACGACTATTTCATTTTTTCATATATAGATCTTTTTCATAACTTCATCAGTTGGTATAATTAAAAAAATCGATATGATTATGTTCAAATAAATAGCATTACAATTTTTGATATGCCTTCAGTATTTCTATTGCCAGGTGAAATAATCCATCTGCAAATATTGAANTTCACTATCAGAGCCAGGAATTTTCTTGAGGGGGGCGAGAAAGGGGGAGGGGAACCTTTTTTAGTAAGTGAAGTGAGGTAAAAACAAAATTACTAACAGTAGAGTAGATAAATTTTACTGTAATGTGTAAGGTACCAAAAGGGAAAATATTTTCTTGTCTCATTTAGCCTGTTACATTATTTTTTCAAGGGGGTAGGAGAATACCTCCTTTTTTTAATGGGGAGGGGGGGGTCTGCCATTGCCCTCTAGTGAGACCTTAACAAAGACCTGAATGCTGTAGTTGAGAAAAGCTGAGAATGTGTTGTAGCAACTACTGCAATCAAAAATAGCCTGTAATATTACACTGGTTGGAAATGAATGTCACTGAGTGCATTGATTGATGTCAGCATGATAAATGCAGATAATATATGTGATTCCACTTAAGTTGTATGCTGAAAATTATACAAAAATATTGCCCCTGCCCACCACACAATGTCACAATATATATTTTTTTGTCAGGGGGAAGGGCAGGTCATTTCATGAGCAGTCACAATTTTTTGCATTTTAATTTTACTGTATTCGATTATTATAGAAACCTAAGTCTCATTTAATTAAATTAAATTTTAGTCTGTCACACAATTAACAGTATTGAGTAGAACTGATAGCAGTGCCAACAATTTTCATTTTTATCGATTCTAGTCAAGTTGTTTTGAATTTGAATGGGAAAGGAAACCAACAGACACTTGTTAGCCAAGTCTGTTAAAGGTGTAATGGGTGAATTTAGTGTCTCAAAACAAAATAAATTTTGATATTGATATCAGGGATTTTGTAACATAACTTAAATGTGCTGTGTTCAAAACTTACATTGCTTTTTCAAAAACAAATACTATGAGATTTTTATTATGGTAATTGGTGGTGATTAGTTCTTGTTCTTATAAAAATTAAAAAAAAAAAAGAATTACAAAAGTTATTTGTTATATATGAACCTCGGGGTGATATGAAATTGACATGAAGCAAAAATTTTTTTCACAGAATTTAAAATAAATGTTTTGTCCCAATAGTTCACTCACTATACCTTTGATTTTCATTGTCAGTTTTACATATTTCATTTGACAAAATTGCAGTGCTTTTTTTTACAGTTTATTAATTTTAAGGGCACATATTTGTATCTATTTTCATCATTTTTAGAAGGTATAAGTAGTACATATATCACAGTAGATTAGAATTAAATGTATTATAACATTATTGAGCTTTGATCTGTGATTTAAAAAATGCAGAATGGTGCTTTAGTGACAAACTTGGTTATTCTAATGCAGATGCCAGTTGCAAGTTTTAATGAAAATATTAAAATATACCATTTGATAAGCAACGACTATTTCATTTTTTCATATATAGATCTTTTTCATAACTTCATCAGTTGGTATAATTAAAAAAATCGATATGATTATGTTCAAATAAATAGCATTACAATTTTTGATATGCCTTCAGTATTTCTATTGCCAGGTGAAATAATCCATCTGCAAATATTGAAATCTTGTTTCAACAAGTTCTTTCAATTAAGTTAAAATCGTGTAATAATCAAATGAGCTACATCTATAAGTGCAATACAACATTTTAGCGTTTTTGACTGAGATAGCTGTGACTTATGGAAATCATCCGAAGCAGCCTTAAACGAGGCTGTTGGCACGTACTTAGTTACTGCGCCAGTCAGTCAGATGGCAACCGGCTGAAAAACGTAACGTCATGGCGGTTATTTGAAACTTTTCAGTGAGTCCGCGTCACGAAGTAGCGCCGTTTCTGGACAAATGCGATGGCTGACGTGAAAAACTGTACCTTGCAAATAAAACCAGTTTAAAAACAAACAAAGTCGTTTTGAGTTGTGATTTTGTAAAGATAATAAGAAAAGTTCATGCTCTTACCCTCGATTTCAAAGGATTACTGAAATATGCTAAAATTTTAATGTAATATGTTCACGATTTTGAAATTTGAAAATAAAATCGTTCTCAAAATGAGTATCGTAGGGGGTGGGACTATGTTGCGAGAAAAAAGTTTCCAGGCCTGAATTTGTCTCATTTTTATATATAAGTTAAAACACCACCTAAGGTTTAAAATTTCAAAGTTTCAAGAACGTGTTATTTCTTGTATTGTCACTAGAATAAAAAATCCAAGATGCGGCTCAAATAATGACGAAAAATTGGCGGTCTCAGACCATCGCAAAAAGTACATTTATTTGCAGGTTACTTCTTTATTAAAAATATCAACACATATATTATTTTAAAGAAAACGATCAAGTAATATTTCTCTCACTGTACCTTTCGTGTGTGCGTTCCTGGAAAGTTTTACGATGACCTTGAAGGAGACCTTGAACTACTAAAGCATTGTGGGAGTTCTTATTGAACGGTCAAGGTTAGATAATCCTGCCGATAACTGAATATTCTATCATTATTTAGTGTTTTGTATGGTATTTTATCGTTTATATAAAAAATGATCATAAGAAAATGACCTGATTTCATTTATGTATTCTGATATCATTTATGCAGGAGATTATATGTTGACCTAGCTATTTATAAAACAACGCGCATATTTGTAAAAAAGTATCCAAAAAGTATCAAAGATTCAAATGCCACATTCCAAATAGCAGGGTAGCTTAGTCCATTATTGCAAAATAAAGGGGTGTGTGGGAGTTAAAGAAGAACCAAGATTTTAGAATAAATCGCTTAAGATTTGATTTGCCGTACTACAGTACGTATACGTAGCCTAAACCGGTATGTACCGGTATATGCGTTTTTGATGATATCTTAAGTTGGAAAATGTTGGATTTCTACGGCAAGTTAGTGCTTCTTTCCCATTAAAAGTCATTTTCTTGTTCTTGTTTCCTACTAATTAAACTCCTCCACACCACATGAAAAATATTGAAGCAGTTATCATTATGAAGTCGGTTAAGGTTCATTATTTTACTATGAATAAACAACAAACTATATTGGCAGAGCCGCAGTCCGTAATGGTAAACAGAATTTAAATGTTATGTTCAGTCTACTCGTAACTCAGGATTGTGCAGATAAGCTTTATGGCAGAAAATTTCGTGGAGGATTCGCAACCGACTTGACTTGTGCAGGTGCGATATAACGATAAAACATTTTCTTTTGAAATAAGACATCTAGAAAGGTAAAATGATTTTAACGCCTTAAATATCATTTATTTAACTTAAAAGGGACATTTTATTGTGCAAACAAATGATAAGTATATTGATTCTCGAAATTTAGTGAAATCTTCAGACCTTCACTTGCTTCTGTATTGGAGAATATGACGTCAGAATATGGCTGACATCTAGCGGAATAGAGTCAAAAACTCATTTCAATAGCTCGCATA